ATAAACCATTAGCCAACCTTATTAAAAAGAAGAGAGAGAAGACTCAAATTAATAAAATCATGAATGAGAAAGGAGAGATCACTACCAACACCAAGGAAATACAAACGATTTTAAAAACATATTATGAACAGCTCTACGCCAATAAATTAGGCAATCTAGAAGAAATGGACGCATTCCTGGAAAGCCACAAACTACCAAAACTGGAACAGGAAGAAATAGAAAACCTGAACAGGCCAATAACCAGGGAGGAAATTGAAGAAGTCATCAAAAACCTCCCAAAACACAAGAGTCCAGGGCCAGATGGCTTCCCAGGGGAATTCTATCAAACGTTTAAAGAAGAAATCATACCTATTCTACTAAAGCTGTTTGGAAAGATAGAAAGAGATGGAATACTTCCAAATTCATTCTATGAGGCCAGCATCACCTTAATTCCAAAACCAGACAAAGACCCCACCAAAAAGGAGAATTACAGACCAATATCCCTGATGAACATGGATGCAAAAATTCTCAACAAGATACTAGCCAATAGGATCCAACAACACATTAAGAAAATTATTCACCATGACCAAGTAGGATTTATCCCCGGGACACAAGGCTGGTTCAACACTCGTAAAACAATCAATGTGATTCATCATATCAGCACGAGAAAAACCAAGAACCATAGGATCCTCTCATTAGATGCAGAGAAAGCATTTGACAAAATACAGCATCCATTCCTGACCAAAACTCTTCAGAGTGTAGGGATAGAGGGAACTTTCCTCGGCATCTTAAAAGCCATCCACGAAAAGCCCACAGCAAATATCATTCTCAATGGGGAAGCACTGGGAGCCTTTCCCCTAAGATCAGGAACAAGACAGGGATGTCCACTCTCACCACTGCTATTCAACATAGTATTGGAAGTCCTAGCCTCAGCAATCAGACAACAGAAAGACATTAAAGGCATTCAGATTGGCAAAGAAGAAGTCAAACTCTCCCTCTTCGCCGATGACATGATACTGTACATAGAAAACCCAAAAGCCTCCACCCCAAGATTGCTAGAACTCATACAGCAATTTGGTAGCGTGGCAGGATACAAAATCAATGCCCAGAAATCAATGGCATTTCTATACACTAACAATGAGACTGAAGAAAGAGAAATTAAGGAGTCAATCCCATTTACAATTGCACCCAAAAGCATAAGATACCTAGGAATAAGCCTAACCAAAGAGGTAAAGGATCTATACCCTAAAAACTATAGAACACTTCTGAAAGAAATTGAGGAAGACACAAAGAGATGGAAAAATATTCCATGCTCATGGATTGGCAGAATTAATATTGTGAAAATGTCAATGTTACCCAGGGCAATGTACACGTTTAATGCAATCCCTATCAAAATACCATGGACTTTCTTCAGAGACTTAGAACAAATTATTTTAAGATTTGTGTGGAATCAGAAAAGACCCCGAATAGCCAGGGGAATTTTAAAAAAGAAAACCATATCTGGGGGCATCACAATGCCAGATTTCAGGTTGTACTACAAAGCTGTGGTCATCAAGACAGTGTGGTACTGGCACAAAAACAGACACATAGATCAATGGAACAGAATAGAGAACACATAAGTGGACCCTGAACTTTATGGTTAACTAATATTCGATAAAGGAGGAAAGACGATCCACTGGAAGAAAGACAGTCTCTTCAATAAATGGTGCTGGGAAAATTGGACCTCCACATGCAGAAGAATGAAACTAGACCACTCTCTTGCACCATACACAAAGATAAACTCAAAATGGATGAAAGATCTAAATGTGAGACAAGATTCCATCAAAATCCTAGAGGAGAACACAGGCAACACCCTTTTTGAACTTGGCCACAGTAACTTCTTGCAAGATACATCCACGAGCGCAAAAGAAACAAAAGCAAAAATGAACTATTGGGACTTCATCAAGATAAGAAGCTTTTGCACAGCAAAGGATACAGTCAACAGAACTAAAAGACAACCTACAGAATGGGAGAAGATATTTGCAAATGACCTATCAGATAAAGGGCTAGTTTCCAAAATCTATAAAGAACTTCTTAAACTCAACAGCAAAGAAACAAACAACCCAATCATGAAATGGGCAAAGGACATGAAGAGAAATCTCACAGAGGAAGACATAGACATGGCCAACATGCACATGAGAAAATGCTCTGCATCACTTGCCATCAGGGAAATACAAATCAAAACCACAATGAGATACCACCTCACACCAGTGAGAATGGGGAAAATTAACAAGGCAGGAAACAACAAATGTTGGAGAGGATGCGGAGAAAAGGGAACCCTCTTACACTGTTGGTGGGAATGTGAACTGGTGCAGCCACTCTGGAAAACTGTGTGGAGGTTCCTCAAAGAATTAAAAATAGACCTGCCCTACGACCCAGCAATTGCACTGTTAGGGATTTACCCCAAAGATTCAGATGCAATGAAACGCCGGGACACCTGCATCCCGATGTTTCTAGCAGCCATGTCCACAATAGCCAAACTGTGGAAGGAGCCTCGGTGCCCATCGAAAGATGAATGGATAAAGAAGATGTGGTCTATGTATACAATGGAATATTACTCGGCCATTAGAAACGACAAATACCCACCATTTGCTTCAACGTGGATGGAACTGGAGGGTATTATGCTGAGTGAAGTAAGTCAATCGGAGAAGGACAAACAGTGTATGTTCTCATTCATTTGGGGAATATGAATAATACTGAAAGGGAATATAAGGGAAGGGAGAAGAAATGAGTGGGAAATACCAGAAAGGGAGACAGAACATAAAAACTTCTAACTCTGGGAAATGAACTAGGGGTGGTGGAGGAGGGAGGAGAGCGGGGGGTGGGGTGAATGGGTGACGGGCACTGAGGGGGACACTTGACAGGATGAGCACTGGGTGTTATTCTGTATGTTGAATTCTGTAAATTGAACACCAATAAAAATTAATTCATTTTTTTTTTTTTTAATTTTTTTATTTTTTTTTTGTTTACTCATGATAGTCACAGAGAGAGAGAGAGGCAAAGACACAGGCAGAGGGAGAAGCAGGCTCCATGCACCGGGAGCCCGACGTGGGATTCGATCCCGGGTCTCCAGGATCGCGCCCCGGGCCAAAGACAGGCGCCAAACCGCTGCGCCACCCAGGGATCCCTAAAAATTAATTTATTAAAAAAAAAACACAGAGTTCTATATGACCCAGGAATTCCACTCCTAGGTATACACCCAAAAGAAATGAAAACATATGTGTATGTAAAAACTTGTACAACTATGTTCATAGCAGCATCAGTCATACTAGCCAAGAAGTAGAAACAACTCATACGTCGATCAACTGGTGAGTGGTTAAACAAAATATGGTACGTATAGCCATAGAATGAAACATTATTTGGCTATAAAAAGAATTGAAGTGTGGACACATATTCCACATGGAAGACCCTAGAAAACATTACGCTAGTAAAAAAACAAAGCCAGCAACAAAAGGCCACTGTGATTCCATTTACGTGATAGGTCCAGAATAGGTAAATCAATATGGAGGGACGCCTGGGTGGCTTAGTGGTTGAGCATCTGCCTTTGGCTCAGGGCATGGTCCAAGGGTCCCGGGATTGAGTCCCACATCAGGCTCCACTAGAGGAGGTTGCTTCTCCCTCTGCCTGTGTCTCTGCCTCTCTCTCTGTATCTCTCATGAATAAGTAAATAAAATCTTAAAAAAAATCAGTATGGAAAGGAGGATCATGGGTGCCTAAGACCAAGCTAGTTGTGAGGAGAGAGGGAAGATGATCACTAAAAGGAGTAGGGTTTCTTTTTGGGGGTGGGGGGAAGGAAAATGTTCTCAAACTGAATGTGCTGATTCTGTGAATTCACTAAAAACCACAGAGTAGTATACTCTAGATGGGTACACTGCATGCTATGTGAATTTTATCTCAGTAAAGCTATTACCTGCTCCCCCACCCTCCCCCAAGACAGAAAAGGAATCAGGAGGCTGCTTTACTCTAGAGAAACACCACACCTGTCGTCCCAACATCATCATTACAAAAGCACCCTTTTTGCCCTCTGAAGTGATTTATATGATAAATATCTATCACTGCCCTATCACTACGTGGTATCCGGCAGGTGGCTCTGCCCCTCTCGGCTTTCAGTGTCATCTGTAAAACAAGGTCTACCCAGTTCTGATCATCTTTGACCCTAACACTATATTCCCCAAAAGCTCCACTTTAGAAGTTGTAGAATCCTGCTCAGCTGATCATACAGCCTCCTTGTGCTTTCGAAGTTAAACCTAAGTTAGCTACGAGTATGTAGATCACTGGGTCCCAGGAAACAGACACAAGACAAAGACAAATTCCTGAGCTTACCCGTACTCAAGTTTCCCCATAGTCAAGCCACTAAGAGAGAAGATCCAACCATCCCAGTGCGAGCAAAATGCCCTAACACTCCCTCTATCAAATGAAAAAAGATAAACATTTAAATGGGGACCCTCACAGTAGAGACAAAGTTTGGCAGTGTTAATCAAGGTCTTCTCTAAATGAGACTTAGTTGGTTAAGTCCACGCACAAGAGCCCGCTACCATGACTATCAAGGTCATGTGACTGCACAGTGGGATGCTCATTTCCTAGTCCTCCTTACCCACGATTGCTGAGGAAATAAAATCGTATGAAAGGAGCTCAAGAAAAAAAAAAACCTTTTGTTCTCATCCCTTTTACACTTGTGAGAATGTACCAGAAAATAGTTACTCCATCCTCTCCCTCTCCCTCCCAAGGGCGTAGACCTAGGTATGTGTGGCAGGTCCTACACATGCGTTGTGGTGTCACATGACCAATGCAGAGACAGGTGAGCCCATCTCTGGGCATTAGGGCAACAGGTCCTTAGAAACAAGAGTCAAGGTGGAAGAAGCAGAAGGCACAGAATAAACCCCATTCCCATCGATCCATCCAAGAACCAGAAAGACAGACACTCATGAGGGCCGCTAAGAAGGGAAACCAACGTGAAGGTAGAATGGTGGCAAGTTATCCAGTCAACAGTCCTGGTCACCAGAGAAGATGACGGCTGATGGGAGGCAGGGCTTTCCCTGGAGGCAGGGGAGTAGTCAGAAGGATACACTGGCACCAAGATACCCAGTGAACCAGCCTCCAACAAGGGACTGAGGGGTTTCAGAGAAGATGCCCCTGCCATTTGCCTCTTTAGGATAGCAGGCAAAGAACAAGGAACCGCTCAAAAGCTGGAGGTCAAGAGGAAGGAGAGAGGAGCCATTGGCTTTCTGCATGCCAGAGACCACATCCACAGGTTCCCGCTGGTTACTGGTCCATGGCTTCCACAGACTGGGCCAAGTCCCTCCCAGTCACAGCTTGCCAGGTGAGGCCGAAGCGTATGGTGGTGCAGGTTCTACATTCAAAGGAATCCACGGTGCTGGGAGTGGGAGGCTCTGGCTTACACACTCTACTTCTGCTCGGAGGCCACACTTCAGGATGATGTGGTAGCCATCGTTGCTGTCGGCTGCCAAGGGAGACAAGGGAAGAAAGGCCCGACGCCATAACCTTGGGGTGTTAGGGAGCGCATGGCCTTTGAGTACCAGCGGAAGTCCTGCCACCAATACTGGCTCCGAATACAACTGCAGAGAGCGCTAACAAACAGGTATTTCAGCACATGCCTTCACATGCCTTCTGCCTTATCGAGTTTCTTTTTGGCAATGGGTCTTTCTACCGTAGCCCCAGGCCCAAAAACTAAAGGCTCTATAATATCCAAGAAGGCTTTGGAACCACACTGTGGTTCTCAGGGTATTACGGTCCCTAGCTCTCTGAAGGCAGTTACTGGCTAGATCCAGAACAAGGAGGACAGGAATGGCCCTGCCACCGTTCAGGGTCTCTGACCCAGTCATACAGGGCTTTCATTCTGATATACCCCATACATTCACCTGCCCTGGCCCTAAGGAAGGCTACAGCTAGTCTTTCCTTTCTCCTGGCACATGAGTTCCTTCTGAGACCTGTCCTCAGGTGGAAGCTTCATGTCCTGCCCCTCACACCATATCCCTGACACCCCACTAGGCCTGCAGGCTCAGCTGTTCTATTCCACACTTGCTCCTCCTGGAGACCTCCATTGGAGAAAAACCCAAGCGCATCTTACTTCTACTCAAGCACCGAGTTACGTCTACTCAAGCACCAGGAAAATCACATTGCCTGGCCAGGGTTTGCCTTTCAGAACTGACGTTGGAGCAGATCTCAATAGTCCTCACATTTCCTGGACCACGTTTCAACTTTTAGCCAGAGGATGTCCTCAGATAACGTTCTCTCAAGGGACCCACCGAGCAGGCAGGGCCGGCCCCACTCACCAGTTTGGGTGTCTCCTCACTCTACTACTCAGGGATGGGGCAGGAGGCACAGCCAACATACTTTAACTAAACAAGAAAAAAAGGAGGGGGGCTTTACCTTTTAAGGTACTGAGGATAAAACAAGACTCATCTTGGAAATTCTGCACCATCTGAAAGGCAAAAGAGAGACCACGTCCCTTCGACAATGAGTTCATAATATGGAAAGCCTTGACCACACGGATCCCAGCCACTGTGTTTGTACAGATGCAGGAAGAGGGTCACACTTAACACTCACCAAGGAAACACAAAACAAGATAAATATATGAACTGATTATAGCTGTAAGTAACAAAAACTGAACATAAACGACAGAAAGGAGCCAGGAAGGGAAGCAAAATGTTAGTATTTACCACGGGACTCCACGTTTGCTTTCGTTTTCATTTTTCCTACTTTACTGGGTCCTCCTATCTCTATAATGGACACATTACAGGAGCATGTATGTGTACGACGGCAACAAGTTAAAAACTAAAGTGCTTTGAAAAAGGAAAAAAACATCTTGGGAGTTAGCGGCCTCTGCATATCAGAGTCCTACGAGGACCAATATAAACACAGCGCCACTCCCTCCATCGGCCAAGTGGCAGGAATGGAAGGATTCCCCAGCCGCCTCTCTGCAGGTTCCATTTTGATGAACTACCGGGTGACTTCAGACAAGTCGACCTTTTCCCTTCTGGGCTCCATGCCCCATCTAGAAAATGGGGCTGCTTCCGTGACAAAAGAACAGAACCAGGATACAGAATGTTAGGAATTGGCACCAGAACATCAGGAATCGGCACCCACGGCTAGTGGAGTGTTAATCTATACAACCACTTTACAAAGCTGTCCACGGGGCCTACTACATTACTCCTCCAGCCCAGTGTTCTAGATAAACCCCTGCATGTGCCTAACTCAAAGCACACCTAAGAATGTTTCCAGCAACACTGTTAGGAACGGTAACTGCAGAGGCGCCTGGCTGGCTCAGTGTGAAGAGCATGCGACTCTTGATCTTGGGGCTGAGTCTGAGCCCATCAGGTACAGAGATTACTTACATAAAAACTTGGAAAAAATAGTAACTGGAAACAGCCCCATGTCAATCAGTAACAATAGGAGCATGAATAAACTGTGACCTAATTCAGCATGCCAGTGGCCTCCGGCAGCATTTCAACATGTGTGACTCTCAAAAATATAAAGGGAAATGGAAGTCACAGAAAAACATGCCATTATTCCACCTCCATGAAATTTTAAATTAGGCAAAATTAAATGATATATTGAGGAGGAAAAGGGTACAATGAATACAACATTCAGAGCAGCAGGTGGAGGTGGTGTGGAAATGGAAATTAGGGCACAAAGAGGCTCCTGACATAATACTTCATTAACCTGAGCGAAAGTATTGGGCACTTACCTCTTCCTTAAACTGTAAAAATAAGTTTTATAATTCTCCTTGCACACACATGCCATATTTCACAATATAAATGGAAAGAGTATTTCAAAAATACTTAAAGACATACCCACAACACACACGCTAGCTACCACAAAGCAAAACTCCTTTGCAAATTAAAAAAATGCAATCCATATTTATTGCCGCCTCTGGATTACTGCCCCAAATCCTGCAAATCTATGTACCTGAGGACCCCTGCCCCTCCCTGCCGGGCCTAATGATGCGTGAAGTACATTTATTCTATACTGCTGGCCTGCTCCCTCCTGGACTCTTGGCAGCCCAGCCACTTGGGCATGCAAAGCCCTACATGGAGCCCACACGGGCTTAATCAGTAACTCTCTTGTTTAATTAAGTGCCCTTGCACCTCAGGGGCCGGCTTTGCGGCTGGCCAGGCTGCCTCCACCGCTCCGGGCAATTAAGAACCAAAGGTTTCCAATTGATTCAGGGTTAAGAGGCAAGGAGACTTCGGAGAATAAGAATCGCCTGCTTAGCTGAGGTAGCATTTCTTTTTATTTTTATTTTTTTATTTTTCATTATTTTTTTTAATTTTTATTTATTTCTGATAGTCACAGAGAGAGAGAGAGAGAGAGAGAGAGAGAGAGAGACAGAGAGAGAGAGAGGCAGAGACACAGGCAAAGGGAGAAGCAGGCTCCATGCACCGGGAGCCCGACGTGGGATTCGATCCCGGGTCTCCAGGATCACGCCCTGGGCCAAAGGCAGTCGCCAAACCGCTGCGCCACCAAGGGATCCCCTGAGGTAGCATTTCGGTTCTGTTCTCTGCTTCACTTGCTTAACTGCCCACTCTGGAGGGCCCAGGGCAAGCCGGGGAAGGGACTTCCCGCATGGACCCGTGACGTTGCAAGCGTTCTGCACATTCTTGGCTTTCGTCTTCACAAAAGAAATTCGTGCCCAAGTGCAAAGTGACAACTTTCCTGTGCCATGCAGCAGCCCATTGTGCCGGTGTCTTAACCTGCCTGGCTATTCCCAAGGGAGTGCTTAGGTCAAGAACTCTGGGCTTCGTTTTGTCTGTGAGGTGGGGGCTGGAAAAACAGCTGTCTGAGATCTCAATGCAAGGATACAGAAGAAATTCTGAACAGGTGACAAAAACTAACAAGTGGCAGATAAATGTACAGCTGGAACTCTGATGTGTTTTGAGAATCCACACCTACACAGTGCTCAGGCACATGACGGATGCCAGCAAGCATCCTCTGACAAAATCACATCAAAGCTAATATAAACTCCTCCAGGAAAAGAGTAAGGAAGAGAAGTGCCTTTCACATTTGCCTTCAGCTGTTTTATACTTCTTGACTTACACTAAGTGAATTACTGGGTTGTATTTTTTTTAAGATTCTTTTATTTTTTATTTTTAGGTAATCTCTGCACCCAACATGGGGCTCGAACTCACAACCCCAAGATCAAGAGTCTCATGCTCCACCGACTGAAGCAGCCAGGCACCTGGTGAATTACTTTTTAATTCAAGAAGAAGGAAACCACCACCGCTTTGCTAACTTTAAGGACCAAACTCCCATGAAATGGGGGACTTCCATTTAAGGGGCTCAGGCAATTGTAACGACAAGTGGCAATAGGATTATCACCAATAATGACAATATATGAAAACACAGAGACTGTTAGAAGCTTTACGTTTTATACACTGTCAAACTTAAAGATCTCTACAACACTTGCTCTCAAAAGTCCAAAGCACTTGGCACTGTCAGTTACCACCATCACACCGGTCCCTGGTGTCTCTCGGTGCCTGAGGCTGTTTTCTCTTTTCTCATTTTATCCTAACTACAACCTGTTCAGTGGGTTAATTATCCATTTTATAGATGCGGAAACAGGTTCAAAAGTGTTAAGTAAATCTGCCCAGGGTCACTCTACCCCTAGGAGGAAGGTCTGGGTGGGGACACATGTCTGATTCCAGAGCCCACATCTTCTCTACTTCCCTAGACGCCATTCATGTCCCACTTCATCTACAGTCCGTTACAGAGATGCTCTCAGAGTTCCCACAATGGGCTTGCTGGGGTCTGCTGGGGGCTAAGGGGGCCACCCTTGTTCCCCTCAGCCCAGCTGTTTTCCTGAGGCCTCATTGCAGGGGAGGTGGACTAACCTGGCAGCTAGAAGCATGGGCTCTGGGCTCCCCCAGTGCTCCCCCCTACCTCCACCCCTTACGAGGTGTGCAACCTGGGGCAATTACTCAGCTTCTCTGCATCTCAGTTTCCTATTTGTGAAATGAGATTTCACCCAGTTCAGCATGAGGCTGTCAGGATTACAAGAGTCACTACATGTGCATTTAGGACAGGAAGCAGTGGATAAATGCTGCCACTCCTGGCTATTGTCAGCAAGAGGAGGATTCCAGGATAAAAGAAGCTTAAGAGACTCTGCTCTACAATGAGCAGGAATGCCTAAATGCAGCTGCAAACCCTCCCTAGCCAGGAGTGGGATCGGATCACTCTGCCCTCGGCCATCGGCTGCTGGTGTCCCGCACAGGTCTGTGCAGGCAAGGGCAGACCCAGGAAGGCTGTGGTACCTTCAGTGGTCAGCAGAGGAGGGCTCTGTCCTCCCATGTGACCTGTGTCCTCTCCATCATCCAGTCCATGGTCCATTCCACTGCCACTGGGACCTGCAAACTTACACCCTGAGGGCAGGGGTGCAGTTTGCACCATGGTTCCTACATGGCGCCTGGCCGGGGATGGGGTATGGAGTGGATACTAGACAGCCTCTCAGAGCCTCAGAACTCTCTCCACCTGCACTTAAGGGCAGCCAAGAGCATGTGGCACACAGCTGAAACCCGTTTGCCATCTTGGGGCATAAGTCCTCCTCCCCAAGCCCCAGAGGGGCCATTTCTGGCACCTGTTGCTGTGCCTCCCTACAGCCCAGAGCCCGGGGCCAGGAGCAGGGGTGGGGACAGCGCTCACCTCGTTGTTCACCACCACGTGGATGCCTGTGGGGCCCTGCCAGTAGACTCCATGGATGTGCTGCGGGGAGATGCTGTACAGGTTGGCGATCTTCTCAACCAGCTCCAAGGTGGTCAGCTCTTGCAAGAAGATGGCATGGTACACTGGAGGGCAAGGGACAGGGCCTTCTGTAGAACACACTCCTGCTCCTAAGGAGCCTGCCTACCCCTCATACCCAACTCCCAAATCAGTCACTCCGCTGTAAGGATGCTCGTGCCCAGACTCATTCGATGGGATCTGGCTGTAACAGGCACAAAGCCTCTGCAGAGCCCAACCACAGGAGCAAAGCAGCCAGGATATGGTTCTTCATTCCTGTACTAGTCTCTCTTGGGGGAATCTTACATAAAATCGGGAACTCTTGCATCCACCCCACACCCAATGACACCCGTGGAGGAGTGGAGGCTGGAGGAAGAACTGCTGGCAGAGCTCTGTATTTCTAATTAGCTTCTAGTGATTCTGATGTGCGGCCAGACGCACACCCTTGCAGGGGAGAGGAGAGACTCTGCATCCTTTCCGTGGCTTAGCGGGACGCTGGATGGCTCCTGGGGGCAAAGCGCAGGATTTAAGGATAACTGCTACTTCTTTTTAAATTTATTTAAAATAAATTAACACATACTGTATTATGAGTGTCAGAAGTAGAGTTCAATGATTCATCAGTTGTAGTAACACCCTGTGCTCATCACATCACAGGTCCTCCTTAATGCCCATCACCCAGTTACCCCATCCCCCCGACCCCTCCCTTCCAGCAACTCTCAGTTTAACTGTTTCCTAGAGTTCAGAATCTCTTATGGTTTGTCTCCTCTGATTTTGTCTTATTTTATTTTTCTCTCTTCCCCTACATTCATCAGCTGTTTCTTAAATTCCACATGAGTTAAATCATATAATTCTTTCTGAATGACTTATTTCACCCAGCATAACAACCCTCTGCTCCATCCACATTATTGCAAATGGCAAGATTTCATTCTTTTTGATGGCTGAGTAATATTCCAGAGTGTGCCTGTGTGTTTACAAAACACATCATCTTTATCCATTCATCTGTTGATGAGCATCTGGACTCTTTCCATAGTTTGGCTGTTATGGAAATCGCTGCTATAAACACTGGGGTGCAGGTGCCCCTTTGAATCACTATGTTTGTATCCTTCGGATAAATACCTACTGGTACAATTGCTGGGTCGTAGGGTAGATCTATTTTTAACTTTCTGAGGAAACCCCATACTGTTTTCCAGAGTAGCTGCCCCAGCTTGCATTCCCACCAACAGTGTAGGGAGGGGGGTTCCCTTCTCTGCAAGGGGTAACTGCTACTTGACGGCACATGTGTCTCATCCTTGCCCTTCTCTGCAGCGCAAATACTCCTCCGCTCCAGTACTGTGACCACAAAGGGCAGAGGTGCGCTGGGAGCATCGCCTGCCTGGTGGAAGATAACAGTGACCCCAAGGATGGAAATGCTTCCTTACGGGAAACCCAAACTAGCTGGGTAGGAGTCAGCTCTGTGGGCACCCCAGGGAGGAGGATTACTTGACCCTTGGGGGGGCCCAAATCCCTCAAATGCAAAGCACCTGGATTAAACTAGAGATTCCCAAACTCCTACCTCAACTGAGGAACCTTTGGTTGCAGTGGCTGATGAGAGGCCCTGTACTTCAGAAGCACACATGTATGCATATGTGCACTTCCCAACACAGACTCCCTCCCAAAGGGGTTGGCAGAGGCCATGGCCTTCCAGCCACATGGCCGACCCGCCATCCCACGACTTCAGGCAGGCTGGCCCGCTGTCAGATACTGGGCAGAGGACATGGCCACTGCACCCTGCCCCTCCCATAGGAACCCCCGGTTAGAACACCAGGGCTCTTTTCCAAGATCCCTTTCTATGACAGATTCAAATGAACTTTTGTGTCTTTTCAATGCTTCAGAGCCACTTCCACTTCTGAGTTCACTCCTCCAACAAATCAGGCCGGCCCAAAAGACCTACACAACTTGCAGGCAGTGCATTTCATTGTACCTTTCTGTCACCAGCCCTTTGCGCCCCCAGCTCAGTGTGGGTGCTGCCAGGAATGCATGGAGCAGCTGAAGGCTCAGACACTCCTCTGAACCCCTCCCTGGCCACCTCTCCTCCAGGATCATGTGGGTGGCAGTTTGGGGGGAAGACGAGGCTCCAGAGGAGGCAGTCCCAAGCTCCAGTCCCAACTCAGCAACACTAGAACCAAGACCAAGACCTGTCCTGGGGCCTCGGGGTGTGTGCAGGGGCAGCACCAGCATTGCAGCGTGAATCACAAGCTGTGCATGGACAGCTCCTGCTCTGAGCAGGTGCCGTGCATGAGGCTGTCCTTTCTGCATGATCAGGAAACCCTGGGGTTCAGGATGTGTCCTTCACAGGTTAACAGCTGAGAAGCAGGGTGAGGACCTGGACATTCTCCAGGAATGTACAGGGGCCAGACACGAGGGCTCAGAAGCCAGCAACTAGGGTCTAAAAGTTTGAGTCTCGGCTCTGCCACGTACAACACTGTCCCCTGGGGGCAGTTATCCAGCCTGTGCCTCAGTGTACCCTACAGTGAAACAACACTGCCAACGGTCCCTGCCAGGAGAAGCGAGTGGGTGAGCACGCAGGAAGCCCTGGGGATGGCGACCTGGCAAGCCTCTATCTCCTCTGGTGGGAGCTGCAGAAGCACATGGGCCACTCCCCCACTCTCTGCAGACACGGAGCACGGGCTCTGCGGCCTAAGGTGGGCAGTGGTCAGACCCTCAGCACTCACAGTCAAAAGCAAGGCACTTCGCTTTACATGCCTTATCTCGCCAAAACCTCATCCCCCTGGGCAGAGCATTGTTCTCTGTATTTTGTACGTGCAGAAGCTGATGTACAGGCCCTGGAGCCCTGCCTGAGGCCACATGGCCAACAGGTGGCACAGCCTGCACTGGTGTTCAGGCTCAGCTGACCTCAAGGCTTGTGTCCTCTCAGTAAACTGCCTCCAAACTACCAACCCAAAAGAGTCACGTGCCCTGAGGTGCCCTGGCCCCTGCAGCTCTACTCCTTAGCCCCCGTGCAGCCGCCACACCAAACGGGAAAGCCTTCTCCAGCTCAAGGAAAACCCCAGGAACTATGGCCATGGGGCAGCACTTGTCACCAGCCTGGGAGTCGGAAGGCCAGACCCTTGGTTCGCCCATGAGTGGCTAAGCAGCTGTGAGGAACACATCCTCTCTCTGGGCCTGCTCCCCCGGAAGGAAACAAGGAAGCTGGAGCATGTGTTCTGGCAGAGACTTTCCACCTTAAACATTTCAATCCCAGGAGAATGTTGACCAAAACTCATCCTGCACGAATGGAGGTGGATCAGTGGAAACGTCCTCAGCAAGAGAACTCGTGTTGGTGCTAGGTCTTCCTGTTACCTGGCCACCCAATAACCAGCCCTGGGCTGCTCCACACAACTCACCACACAGACTGCTGTCCCCACCATCCCGCTTCTGCTGCAGGGGTGTTCTGTTCTGCTCCAGCTCCAGAGAGACGTAAATGGTCATCTTTGGCCTCACATTCCTGGCAAGAGGAGAGGAAATAAATTGGTATTGTGTGTGTGTGTGTGGCGGCGGGGGGGGGGAGGCGCAAGGGAATGGGACAAAGCTCTGTTGTTCCAGAATGTTCCAAAACACAGGGTGGAACTAGCACAGTGAAGGAATCAGAAGAAAAGAGGCCACAGGGATGCACAAGGCCTTTCACTGGGCTTCTATGGCTTCATGCAGTCTTGCCCAGAGACAGAGGGATGACAACCCCTCCGGGTCCTGCAAGCTGCCATGATGGCGCTCTGCTCAGAACTCACATCTCAAGACATAGGCATTTTTCAGGGTGGTAACAAGAGCAAAGAGTTTCTCTAGCTTACTCTGCCCCGGGAACTGTTTCCAGAACTTCACATGCCTACATTATCTCATCCTCACACCACCTAGGGAGACTGGAACCATGGCCCTCATTTTATAGAGAAGGGAACCGAGACTCACAGAGGTTAGGCGCTTTTGTCTAGTGTAAAAATCCTAAGAGGCAGACCCAAGAGTCACACCCAGGCTCTCTCTTTCACTCTAGAACTGTGCTGTCCATCTGTGAAAGGTAAATGAGATTTGCAGCTCACTTGGCCAGTCAAATCAATCTGAGATCAAGCGCTCCACAGCCACACGTGGCCGGGGCTGCTGGACTGCACAGCATGGCCCCAAACACATCCACCACAGCGGGAAGCCCCCTCACACCTGGCCCTGCTCTCCAGTCTGCCTGGGGAACTGAGAACTGCCACACAGTCCCACACCTTCCTCTGGGAGGAGAGAGCTGGAAACCCAGGACCATGCAAGCAGCTGAGGAGAGGCTGCGGGGCTGGGATCCAGGGCCAAGGATCCTGCCAAACCAAGAAGGGGGAGGGGCTCCCGGCAGGGTGAACTGTGGTGGGCTCAGCCCCGCCCACCCACATGGCCCTGATCCCGTCTCATAGGGCCTCCTCTTGCACCTGCTCCCAGAGGAGCCCTGAACCCACCAGCTGGCCCATACCGCAGCATTGAAGAGGCTGCGACGGGGCTTCCTGCCATACCCGGCCTCCAGCTGGAAACTGATACCCACCGGCCTTTGATGGCATTGAAGAGCCGGATCCCATCTGCAGGGCCACAGATCTGGACCAAATCGTCTCGAGACATCTTCAGCAAGTCAGCACCTAGGCAAGTAAATGGGGCCACCCATCAGTGGGACACACGGTTCCGTCCTCAGGCACCTGCAGATGTTGCACTGTGTGGGCAGGGGACAGGGAAGCGTCCGCCTCATCCTCAGAGGGCACCGGACGGTCCATGGAGAGAACAAAAAGCTAAACATCAGAAAATCACAGCCCAAGAGACGAACAGTATCCTCAAAGCTCAGGAGAACAGACAGGCATTTACAAAAGCCAACAGGCCCTCCCCACCGCCGCCTGCCTGTCCCTTCCCCTGCTGTTTACTGGCACTAACAAGTGCATGTAACCTAGCCCAGGACGCCGGTTACACATGCACCTGCTACATGCAGAAGAGCATGACCCACAGGCTGCAGCCACGGTGAAGGCACCTATACTCCCCACACACAGAACAAGGGGCAGAGCATTCCCCCACCACACGCAGGCCCCTCGTGCCAGCCACTCCCCCTCCTCTGGGGAACCACTGTCCTGACTCCTCACAGGTCTCCGTTTTGCTTGCTTCTTTGACATTTACATAAGTGGAATGGAATAGGATACGCTTTCCTATGTTTGGCTCCCTCCCTCCCAGGTGCTTCAGGGCTCACTCATGCTGGCTGTGGTCAGAGATCATTCACGCCCGTTATTAGACATTATTCGTTGCATGAATATACCACAGTCACATGTCTACTCTGCCAATGGGCACTAGAGATGCTCCCAGCTGGGAGTGATTATGAACAAAGGTCTATAAACATCCTTGTCCGTGGATGCAGTCCCTTCCACAAAGCCTAAGGAATCCCCTAGAACCTTGTGCCCATATGGACTCTCCAAGGGATAAGTATGAGATGAGCTTTCTGCCGAAACCAGCCAGCAGCCACATGGCCAGGAGTGAAGATATCCAACCCCTTTTTCCTGCCCTACTTAAGACACAGTTTCAGTGGGATGCCTGGGTGGCTCAGTCAGTTAAGCAGCTGCCTTCAGCTCAGGTCACAATCCCAGGGTCCTGATATTGAACCCCATGTCAGGCTCCCTGCCCCACAGGGAGTCTGCTTCTCCCTCTGCCTCTCCTCCTTACTCTCTAAATTTAAATTTAAAAAAGATACACTTTCAGGCATAATTTTGTAAGCACAGGGGCTCCCCCTAAATAACAAGTAAAAGCCAAAATCCCTCCACTGTTCTCTCAGGCCCCCAGGACCTCTGTGACCTCACCTCCTTTTCCAGTCCACCTGGCCTCGCTCACCTGGGTGCTCTGCTCTGTGGCCACACCAGGCAGGCCCCACCTTGTGGCCTTTGCACATAACCCTGCTCAGACATCTCACAGTTCCCCCATCCCTACTTGGCTCACTTCCTCCCCTCAGCCCAGCCTCTGCTTAAGGCCACCTTCTCAGGAAGGCCCACCCTGAGCACCACCCCTAAAATGGCAGCCTCCCTCCCTGCTCCTCCTTGACCCAAGCCAGGCCCCTCCTCTGAGCCTGCCCACCACCCAAGGGTCACACTGCATGGAAATGTGTGGTTCGCACATCTGCGTGGACTCAGCTGCAAACTGCTGGAGGACAGGGTCCCTGTCCGACCCTCCTCCTACTGGCCACCCCCAACATAAGTTCTTACAAAAGCTGAGCTGAAAGAAGATCATGTGTGGTATTCTTCCCACTGTCACAGATGCCCTTGCCAGCCACTGCCCTAGTTCTTGTCAAAACGTCACTCCCTGTCATCCTGGATTAACTTGACTTGGTCGCAAAGTTCATTGCTCAGTATACCCTTCCACCCCACAGCCCTGGTCCCAGGACTCTGTGTGATAGCCCCACCAGGAAGGGCTTGAAGAACCTTTCAGAGAAGGAAGAACCAGCTTCTCCTTCTCCCCTGTGGCTTCACCACCTTCTCAAAGGTCGTGGCTCCAGAGACAATATGACCAACGGGCAGCACTGTGGTAGAAGTGCCGGGAAGGCGGAGTATGCCCCGGCCCCCTGGCTAAAGGGCCTCTTCCCGGGCAGTTGAGGGCACCCCCCACAGGACCCAGATGGTCTCCTAAAAGCCATTCTCGACTGGAAACTCCCAGCAGTAGCACTTCGTATCTTAGCACTTGGCACAGGGTCAGCAGAGGTGAGTGACCCATGCTACACCGGGTCTCCAGGGCAAAACCACGGCCCTACAGACACTGCAGCAAATCCTGAAAGCAAGTGGCCTTGTTACAGGTTTTTAATATCCCTGTGGGTTTGAAAAACAACACAAAGATGCTCACCTGAGAAACTGGCGAACAGCCCACAGAACTGTGAGAACCTGTTTCGGTGGAGCCACTGCTGGGCGTCCTGGATGGAGGCTGATGGGAGCAGGTGCTGCAGGCAGAGAGAGAGGAAGGGTCCTGAAACGACCGCGCCGGGTCTGCCCAGGGATGTGCAGCCAGACAGCCCGGCTAAGACACTTACATCGTTGCTCAGGGGCAGGGTCTCCACCGGGTGTGTCGGAGAGCTGTTCCTGCAAAGGAAAAGAACAGGTCATCAGATGCGAGGACACCTTCAGGGACGTGGGGACGGGCCCCTCACCCAACCTGGTGCATCCCCCCCCCCTCAGGCATGGCAATTGGAAACACAGCAGGGCCTCAAGAATTTCTCAGGTCAGAGAAATGTAGGTGGGAACCGTCTGCACAATCCCTCCAATCCCTGACCAACCCTTCAGGACAGACATGACTCAGTGGCAACACAGCATGGCCAATGATCACCACTCCACTCTGAGCTCAGCATTTGTTTGCATCTGATTCCTTCCCAGGCAGAGCTTCCCCACAGCTTGGCCCTAGGGGAGGGCAGGCCGCCCCAGGAGCTCCACACGGCCACGTGGGGCCCAGACAGCAGCAGCCAACACCCCTCTGCGGAGATGGGACAAGGCTGTGGGCTCCTCGAGGAGGGAACAAGCAGCCTCGGTGTGGCATCCATCCACGAGAACATTCTAACAGTTGGAGGCCCACTGACCTCCCTCCAGGGCTCACTCCTGGGGAAGGCACAGACCTGACACCTGGATTCTCCAATTAAAAGAAAAAATACATTTTTAAATGACCCTCCTCAACAGACAGTGGGGCAGGTACGACGTGAATGGACGTAGGTGTCTCTCTCTGCGTTTAACACGATAACGAGGTAAGTTTTACTCTGCGAGTACCTTACCACAGTGACAATAAAGGCAAGGCCCTCACCGGGCTGACCCTCACACCGTCATCGGTAACAAGATGCACCTCGCCCAGTGCCTGTAAGGCGCCGGGCACCTTGCACACCCACCCCTACCCCCGGCCCTGCGTGGAATCCTCACTCCTTTGGTAGTGGAGAAAGTGGGGCTGAGGGAGGTTAAGGAACTCACCCCCAGAAAGGTGGGACTTAACACTTGGTCCGCCCGAATCTGTGACACCTTGGCTATGCCACCCCGATTCTCAAGGAGGCCCCTCCTCACCTTGTGAAACCAAGTTCATGGACACTCACTCTCCCATCAGTGGCTTCTCTGTATGCCAAGCACGGGCTGTGAGGAGCCCACAGGTTCCACGCCTACCTGCTGGGTCTGCCTGGTGTCTCCCTGCTGCCTGCCACAACAGGATCAGGACATGCATGGCCACCACAGAGGTGCCGTGAGCCCTTCCTGTGCCGCAAAGCCTAGGACAGGTTGGACCGATGCCTGCCAGTCCCCACGCTACTGTCTCCTTTGAGTCAGTGTGGCCCATCATGCATCTGCAGAGCTGGGTGACCAAGTGTGAGGCTGCTCCTTGTTACAAGCCCTGAACCCTAGGGCAGGGAGCATCCTGAGCTGTCCTATGCTACCCAGAGAATGTGCATAGGGACCACAGAATGAGCCAGGATGGCCCCTCACAGTCACTGGAGCCCCCTAAACAGCTGCCTCCTTAGGCCCCATCTGCCTAGGAGGCCATTCTGCCCTGAAGGGCAACCCACAGGCCAACCTGCTTCTACGGGTAGCCGGGGTGGGAAGGTGGGTTCTGCGCTGCTGCCCCAGCAGATGATGTTTACAGAAGCACATCTGAGCACAGAAAGCTGTGCAAATATTACAAGTGCCACCCCGAAGCCCAAACCGATGCCAGTGCACCAAAGAGAGGAAGACACAAAGACCAAGAAAGGAGACTACACCCATCATCACTCCAGGGGAGTGAAAGAGGGACATACATACCCTTCACCAAGGCCGAAGCTATTTGGAGAGCCGTTGTAGCTTGGAGATGGGGCGCTGTTCACCTGGTAGGCCTTGTCAGGCCACGGGGAGCACTGTGGAAAGAGCACAGGATGGTAGTGACTTGAGGGCCATGGTGGTCAGGAGCAACTCAGGCCACAGAGCTGCAGACCCAGCACCTATCCCTCCCATGCCAGCATCCATCAAGGCCAGCACGGGAAGCCCTGACCCCTCAACACTTAGCCCACATCCTCTCAGGGCCCACGTGAGCCAGCGAAGCATGGGTACTAGGGCCGTGCCCAAGAAACTGAGTGCGGCAGAGAAGACCTAAAATTCAGTCATTCCCAGAGCAAGCAAAGGCAGGCATGTGTCTCGGTGGGCTTCCTAGGTGTTGAGCCAACGAGGGAAAGAAACATCGTCGGTCATCTGGGTCCCTAAGAAAAGAGAACTAACAAAACAGACCAACTGCCCAGAGGCAGGTTTTACCAGGTGTAGACAAGTGTGTGTACAAGCATGAAGGTGGGAGCACAGGACACAAATAACTTCCAAACAAAAATCATCCGTGAGGTTCAGTAGTGGGGTGCCCGTGTGGCTCAGTGACTTAAGCGTCCAACTTGTGGTTTTGGCTCAGGTCGTGATCTCAGGATCGTGAGATTGAGCCTTGCATCAGGCTCCACGCTCAACGGGGAGTCTGCTTATCCCTCTCCCTCTGCTTGTCCCTCTGCTCTCTCTCTTTCTCTCTCCCCCTAAAATGAATAATTAAATATAAATCGAAAACAAAAGTCCAGTACTAAAACCTGCACTACTTGAAACATTCCAGGAGCAGCCAGCCCTCTCAGGCATCAGTCGATGCGTGTTTACTATACATCAGCCGTCCTGCTAGGAGCTAAGGGATACACAAAAAACACGGAGGATGTGATCCTCGACCTCAAGGAACTTCTTGAGCAGAAGCCAAGGATGAACATAGGAGAGAATCGCCCAAAGAAAGCAAAGACGTACAGGTTTTGCCTGTTGGGGAAGCCAGGGGACAAAGTATTCATTTCTCCCCTTCCCTGTGATGACACCGCTTTGGAGAGGGCCAATTCGAAGCATTCCTGAAGATTTACTATCACCCACCGAACCACAGGTTGGTAAATATTTAACTCGGTTGTGCATGTGGGCTGGAATTTCTTGGTGGTAAATCCCGGAGCTGAGGAGGAAGAGCTGACAGTCACCTTACAAGGTCATGGGCCAGGCGGGGGTTTTGACCAACTGTAACACGCTCTGATAAGGGCGTGGACAGACACTGTCTGAAGCACCCCCGTACCTCTCGTCCACCAGGGGGAAGACATAAGAGAGTCAGGAGCAGAGAGGCTGAGGCTCGGCCTGGAAGGGAAAGGTGTCCGTAGGCAGAGGGCAGTGGGAGTGTGGAGGGCACCCTGGAGGGCCTGCACGCGAGGGGACTGGGGCCTGGGGAAAACTAACTGGTCTGAGCTCTGATTCATAAATGCAGGTCCTCGCACTGCTTTGCTGCTGAGAGTTAGACAGGCTCTTCCTGCACCAGGGCTCTCTGGTCACTATTATCCTGTGTCAGATAAAACACTGGTAACATGTCTATGCCGCTGCAAAATTACCTTCCATACTGTATCTTGTTGCAAATACCTTTCTGCATATGGCTTCTCTCTCTCTCTCTCTCTCTCTCTCACTCACACACACACACACACACACACACACAGACACACACACACACACACACACACACACACCAGCCAGGACCGGCCACTATTCTCTTAGATGCTCTGTGCCCTGGGCCTCATCCTTAACACAGCCTTAACTCTACCACAGCTGGGGCTGGGCCTCCTGCATCTGTGGAGGGCCTTCTGAGCAAGTCAAATTATCCAATGAACGCCCACGAGCTGGGCTGATTGCAGAACACACTGGGGAACAGTTACTTAAAAAATACACAGAAGAGTGCCTGGGTAGCTCAGTGGTTGTGTCTGCCTTTGGCTCAAGTCGTGATCCCGGAGTCCTGGGACTGAGTCCCACGTTGGGCTCCCTGCATGGAGCCTGCTTCTCCCTCTGCCGAGGTCTCTGCCTCTCTGTGTCTCTCATAAATAAATAAAATTGTAAAAAAGAAAAAAAAAACACACAACAGACCCCAGTAAGATGTGGCACCAGCAGTGCCCAGTGACAGCGGAAGAAGAGCCTGTGACAGTGAGGGTCTCAGAAGTACGCTGGACACAAGGAGGTTTAGAGCAGGTGCTGTCAGTGTCCAGGTTAGGAGGAGACGAGTTCCAGTCTCTACTCAAACAACAAAGTGGCAAGTAGTCAACACCCCCGACCTGTAAGCCTGCTCTGAGAATGAAGCCTGCAGAGCTTTCTACCATATGCAGAACTTCACATGCACAGGGTCATTCCCTGCACCATGTGTGAAACGGCAAGAGCCCCGAGAGCACCAAACGTCCACCAGCAGGCCATCTATCTATACAATGAAGACCACGCCTCTGGGAAAAGAACTAGAAAGCTTTTTATGAACAGATGGAGAACAGACTCCAAGACAGGCTATTAAATAAAGCAATCAAGTTACAGAACAGTACGTCTATGGACACTGTTGGTATGAAAAAGGTGGGCGTGGGGCAAACATGTATGAATTGGCTTCATCGGCAGAGAAAGCTAGGCCAGATACATGGGGACCCAAGAGATGCCAGCTGCCCTGGGAAGAGACAGCTTGAGGCTAGGACAGTTTTGGGAGAGGCATTTTCTAGTGTAGATACACTCTCTTCTAACTTTTGAATTTTGGACCTTTATTTAAAAAAAAATTACCTGATTCTGGAAAGTAAAAATGGCAGCACAGAACTGGAAGATATTTCTAAAACCCCTCCTGGCCCCCTGGCCTTATCATGTGAACACAGCTCCGGACCCAGGAATCTGCCACAATTTTATAGGCACTTTCCAAAGCAGCATTCACCCAAGTGGGCAATTTCCCAAGAACCTAAACCAAGAGCACGCAGTCATCCTGCTCCAGGCAGAAGGCCCCAGGAGGCGCACCCCGGCACCAGGCCGGCTCACCTCTGTGAGAATGGTGGTCTCGTAGGATGGCTGGTACTTCTCTTTTTCTTGGGCAGTTATTTTCTCCATCTTTTCCCGGTCGGTCTTCTGTTTCCGGTCAGCTCCCTTTCCCTACAAGTACAGAGCACAGGGGATCCGATTAGTCCAAAGTGGGCAGAGGCAGCTATCAGAGAAAGACCCAGGACTTAGAGACAGGTCCCAAGACTTGCACTCTCCCCAGGCCCCAGGAGTCCAGGCGGGATCTCCGGACAGGTCGGCATCTCTCTCACCTCCCAGGCGTCAAGCACATGATCCTCCTCCTGGAGCCTCTCCCCTTCCTCACCTGAGGGAACTCACAGCCTGCTACGGGGTCCTGCCACTCAGTTACTCAGGGGAAAATGCTTGGAAACAATCTTTACCACAGACAAAACCCTTGGCTGCCACAGCAAATCCCAGTGCATTCCTTGAGTTATGGGTGGAGGGCAAAAGAAAGTAGAAGAAGTCAAAGCTGCTGCTGGGAGTTTGGGAGTCTGGTCTGCACCTGCATACTGGGAAATCCTGGATGTGTCACGAAGGCCTCCTGACCTCCCAACTCCCAGGATTATCTGCAGCTCCCTGTTTGCACTCCCCATACAGGGTAAGACCTCCAACCTCACAGAGCCTATCCTGGGCGCCCAGCAAATGTGAACAACTTGCAGAGGGGCCCAGGTCTCACAGGCACTACCATTTCTTTCATTTATAGGTATGGAAACTGAGGCACAAGTGACTTGTCAAGAATGGAGAGAAACCTGCTCTGGCTGCTTGGGGCCTTGGGAAAAAAAAAAAAAACTCGAAGTAGAACCAAGTACTGACCAGGCAAAGAATCCAAGAGAGAATGCCCAGGGATGTACCGCCACCAGGCTGGCCATGGTGGCCCTGCTCATGCGGATACTCTGGACATCCTGTGACTATCACCTGTGAGTTCACAGCCTGGTTGGTGGCTTCAGACATTAAGACCTCAAGCAGCCCCAGAACCCCAGAACTGAATGGTCTCAGCACACATGCAGCGGACTGTGCACAGTGCGCAGAGAGTGAAAACCACCTGTCCTCAAGCTCAGTGTCACCTTCAGGGACTTTCATCCCAGTATGCACCTTCTTCAGGCCACACAATTTTGGTTTCCAGATCAAGGGCACTTTAGAAAACGGCCCCCAGGGTGATGTGATACCCACATTTGATGGAGGCGGGTTTGCAGGGGGTCCTCTGGGGACAGGAACGACATATCCAGTGTCCAGAGAAGGAGCCAGGCACAGTATCCATACCCCATCACCTGCCTCCCAGCCCTAACAAGAGGCTCTTCCTCCCCTTCCAGAAGCCACGAGGCAAGCCTGTGTATGGGGAAGGCACTCAGCCTTGTGAGGCCTGTGGAGAGCTGGCTGGTCAAAAAGGGGTCTTGCCTGTCCTGTCAGAGGCCCCGCCACCCCCATAGAGCCCCAGGGCCTGGCTCCAATATGTGGGAGGCTTCTAGTGACGGGGGTGACTGGGGGAAAAATCACAGCCAGGTTAGCCAGACTCCACCCGGAGCTTGCGCACACCTGCTTGAACTGCCTCTGTGACAGGGCTGGGTGCGTGGGGTGCCCACACCTCCTCAGGCATTCAAGAAGGCAGTTTCAGGTGACAGGGGCCCCTGCACCCCTGCAGGAGATGCCAAAGCCTTCCTTGGGTCACTCAGACAAGGCAGCTTCCAGACCAACTCCTCAGTGATAGCTAGTGTACGGTCCAGGAGCCTGGTGAGCAGAGTCCTCACCCCTGAGCTTCTTCCTCGAGGTGTAGAAAGGGGAGCTGGCAGGGGGTCCTGGGAAAGCCAAGGCACTCTGCAGGGCGGGGCAGGGGGCGTCCTACAGACACTATCCCTCCCTCCTGCTGCCGGTCTGCATCTGAGCCCCAGATATCCACAGGGTGCCACTGGACCCGAGGACCACAGATGTGGTCTGTATATGATGACGACAGAGGTGTGACCAGGACCAGACAAAGACATCCGGCCACACAGCTGTGGGGCTGTCCACGGGAAATCAGACCCACAAGACCCAGTAGCAGACAGCACCTAAGACCACAGGCCACGGTGCCCGCTGCACAGGGGCTCCTCAAACACAGCCACATCCTAATCCCCAGAACCCGAGGCTGTCACTTCACAAGGCAAAGGAAGTAAAGTGCAGGTGGAATTAGGATTGCTAGCAGTGTGATGTGGAAACAGGAAGATTATCCTGAGTCATCCCAGGGGGTCCAGCACAATCACAGGGTCCATAAAAGTGGACAAGGGAGGGAGGAGAGGAGGCTGGGGCGATGTGACCAGAGAAGAGCCCAGCCACCCTTGCTAGCTCCTAGGACAAGTGGATGTGGCCTGAGGAATGCAGAGGCCTCTAGAAGGCAGCAAAGGGAAGGAGAGGGAGCCTCCAGAAAAGAATGCAGCCCTCCTCCTCAATGCTTGACTTTAGTCCAGTGAGACCATCAGACTTCTGACCCCGGGGCCTGAAAGGTAGTAAGTGCATGTGGTTTGAAGCCACTAAACGTGTAGCCATTCGTTACAGCAGCAACAGGAAACCAATATCCCAGGTTGGATTTCAAGGCATCGCCGTCCTGAAGCCGGTTTCTGAAGGGTGCTGGCGCTCTAGCACGACAGACAATCGCGTGCTCCCACCACAACCAGTACCTTCCCACGTAGGGCAGCATCACTAACTGAGCCGGGGCCCACCCGTCCCTCACCTTTGTGGATGCCACAGGCTCTGCTGCGACCCTGCAACTCCGCAGGCCATGCAGGACCCTGAGTTGCATCATTGGCCGCCAAATCTTTCAGAAGTATGGGTCCAGACAGAGGAAAGTAGTTAATAGGCAGGGGCTGGGCAAGAAAGGAAAAGAGAGGCGGTTCCTCCAAACATGTTTCTTTCTCCAACAGGAGGTTACTGCAGAGGGAGAGAGGGCCTTGGGCCCTCCATGGGAACGTCTGTGGCCAGGCCTCCTGCACGGGACGGGGTGTCCTGACTTGATTTTTAAGGAGAATCAAACTGGCAACTACAGAATCTGTGGCCAACTACAAAGTGCTGGGGAAGATAAGGAAAACCTGAAAACGTGCAAATCCAGACAGACTTACAAGGCAGAGCTGGGCACAGCCATCTGTGATGACGGAGGACAGAAGGTGCCCCACACCAAAGGACACCCGAAGCGGGCAGGCCCGTCACCCCAGGGCACGTGGCTCATGCTCCTCAGGGGTCCAGGTAGAAGCCCCAAGCCAACAGGACTCCAAGTTCCCTGCCGGGCCTCCAGCAGGAATCCCAAAGGTCAATGCACTGCTGTCACCGTCTAGCACAGGCAGGGAACCCATGGATTAGGCGGCCACAGGTGGAACGTGGCAAGGACGTCCTACCTTAAACACCTTGATCTGGCAGCTGGCTGAGTGCCAGTGTTCTGTATACTCCCCATTCTCATTCTGCTTAAATGTATTGATCTGCACTCGGAAAGGCACTCCCTTCTCACCCCCGTGCTTCCTGGGGGTGAACTCCGTGCTGATGCAGTGCACCTGGAAGGGGAAATGTGGGCCAGAGCCAAGAAAAGGACTGGGGACAGGCCCTGGACTCCCCAAGGGCCCCTCGCCAAATGGAGGTTTCCATCCCGCACCATCAGGTCCATAGCTGCCTCGGCCTCCCCAATCCCCACGCACACTCCACCAGGGTGATGCCCTCTGTCCCCTCCACCTTCCCCTGTTATAAAGGGCACCCCCTCTCCCCTTTGTCCCTCGACCTCAGAGGCCCTGCCTGACCAGCTACGTCCTCACCATCGCTCAGGCCCACGGACCCTCACTCCCTCCTCTCCCCTGGCAGATCCCACAGACTGCATGGCAGGGATCCCTGCCTGGTGCGTGTCCGAGTTACTCGGGCCAGGCCAGGAGCAGGAGCAGAAAGTTGGAGCCATTTCTATGTTTCTACGTAAGTATGTGCTACAGAAAAAGCACTGGGTAACATATTTATTATCAGAATACTATAAATACTCCAATAATATATATTATTGTGCTAATACAGTAGTGTTATAATAACTTTAAAGTACAGTAAGAATATTATAATCATGTTAAAAAAAAGATCACTAACTTTTACTGAGCAATTACTATGGACCAGGCACTGCAATGATGACTTTATGTTCATTATCTGATTTATAAGACAAGTGAAAAAACTAAGAGGTTCAGAAAGGGACATAGAGAGAGAACGAGAGAGTGCGTGTCAGCCCAGAAGCACGGCGGCCCGCCAGGCTCCTGGACCCATGCCAGGTGCTTGATCATGAAACAATTAATTTAATCATAGAAACTATCATGGAGCAAATGGTGGGTATTTGTTGTTTCTAATGGCTGAGTGGAACTGGAGGGTATTATGCTGAGTGAAGTAAGTCAATCGGAGAAGGACAAACATTATATGTTCTCATTCATTTGGGGAATATGAATAATAGTGAAAGGGAATATAAGGGAAGGGAGAAGAAATGTGTGGGAAATATCAGAAAGGGACACAGAACATAAAGACTCCTAACTCTGGGAAACGAACTAGGGGTGGTGGAAGGGGAGGAGGGTGGGGGGTGGGGGTGAATGGGTGACGGGCACGGAGGGGGACACTTGATGGGATGAGCACTGGGTGTTATTATGTATGTTGGTAAATTGAACACCAATAAAAATTAATTTATTAAAAAAAAACAAAAAAAAGAAACTATAATGGAAAAAAAATTATTACCTATTATATACGCGAGGGCATACTTATTTTGTAACAAGCTTACATATTGTTAAGCAAAACCCACACAGTATTCTACAACATGCCACGTCCTTTCCTAGCTCTGGGGACCAATTAGCTCCACGACTGAGCCACACTCCTGTAGCCTCCTCCCCTTCAACGTACATCCCCGCAACATAGAACAGGAGCCCGTTGGGGCCCTGCAGGTGGACTGTTTTGAGGAACGACATGCATGCAGGCCCCAAAACTCTGGCTTCCCCGAGAACACCCTCCCTCCCACTTACCTGAATGAATGCAGAGGCTCTCTTTGAAGGGTCCCACAAAAATTCGACTGCATTCAGCTGTGTCGGGCTGGCCCTGGGGTCCAAGATACCAACAGACGATGGAACATCTACACACACATACACATACACAGAAGTGCAATTGTCAGCCACTCCCAGAGGCTTAGGGAAGGACTCTCATTACAGGTCCAAATTCCTTAACCACAATTTGAAATGCCGAAAGTTCTGAAAACTAAGTTTTGCATAACTCATTTGGCAGAAAGCCCAACGTGAACTGCCACAAAGCTATTCGGAGTTCTTTGTCCCATTTTGGGTGAACGGACATTTTACCCTGCTGCAGAAATATTAGTGTACTGGATGGCCTGCCAGAGGCATTACCTGGAGCTAGGGATCGACACACCCTGTTGCCATTCTAAAACTTCTAAATTCCAAGACACACCTGGCTCCCAGAGTTACAGGTAAAAGACTATGGATCAGCGCCTAAGACCTCAAAACTCAATTTCTGTTGCCCATCCCTGTGATGCCCATGCTTCCCTTCGTCACAGATCAGAATCCTTTAGGGCAGGGCCTTCTGCAATGCTTTCCCTGAAATCCCTGATGGCAGAGCTCTGAGTTAGAAATCCCTGAGGGCAGGCCTGGTGCCAGCTCGCACAGTGTTTTACCTGAGGCAAGGGTACACTAAAGTGTCCTAGTGAGGCATGCATCCGACAGCATCCAAGAAGAACCCCAATGTTCTTGGGGTTCCCAATGAACTTGGAGTGCCCTTGGGCCCCGCGTGGCCCAGCAGACTCACCAATGTCCAGGATTCGGTCCCCGGGCCGGCTCCTCCGCCATTCCTCCAGCTGCTGTTGCTCTGTGTACTGCAGTTGGCGGTCGTGGAAACCCACCTGGATGATGCTCTAGGGAGGAGAAGCCAGTAGGAGACAGCTAAGTGTGGGGCTGACAAGGACCCAAGAGAACTTCCCACCGGGGAAAATCTCCCACCTTTCAAGACTAAGACCTCTCCTTCCAGAGCCTTCCTTCCCAGCTCTCAAGCTCTGCATGCTTCTCCCCCCTCAGAACCCCAGTCATAGGACAGTGAGAATGAGGACTATCCCCCTTTTCCAGAATTACTAAGTGCTTTACATACACAGCTAACCTATATATCTTTTTGTGCCAATGAGCCAACTGAAAGCTCAGGAAGATTCAGTAAGTGGCAAAGCCAGGCTCAAACCTGAGTTCATCCAGCCCAGAGCCCACTCCATCAGCCCACGCCCCTCCAGGTCTTAGCACTGCCAGCTTGCCCTCAACTGCCTGGACAACACGCTCCAGGGACCAGGAACCCCTCCCACTCCAGGGCTCTCCCCAAACCGCCCAGGCACTCCTGACCCCCACCACCAGCAAGCCCAGACCCCTGAGACCCCCAAGACCTCCTGGGGAGGGAGGGTGGCCCCACAGCCTTGCCTTGACATATTTTGTGTTCAGATCTTGAAAGTCTCCCAACTTCCAATTCTCCAGCAGTCGGATTTCATAAGATTGACCTAGAAGGGGGTTAACAGTACATTTTCCATTTCTGATGGGTTTCAAACCTGGAGTTCACCCAGAGGGAGGCCTTCTTGAACTCCTGAGTGACCACCCAAGCCTCACGGCCCCAGGGGACAGAGCAGTCAGTCCATGGCCAACTCAGATGGCTCTCTGGGCTGCACACCCCCATTTGTCCCAGCCTGGTGGTGCCTAAGACACCCTAGGTAGCATACCATGTGTCCCCCAAAACACAGCACCTCTACAGTTTTCAAAGAAAGAGAATTCAACAAAATGGAGTTAATGTTAAGAACAGAGCTTCATGTTTCTTTAGAAAGGCTGCCCCTGCCCCCCCCCCGGGTCACTTGGATGGAGAACACAGCCACCCACTCAGATCCATGTTACAGTAAATAACTGACCATACCCTTCCCAAGAGCAGGTTAAAGGAATGAGTAAAAGCCTGTTAAACATTGTCTCTAATTGCAGAATGAAAAGCATTTTCCCAACTTAAAAGAATTTCATGTATTTAAGGTGTGTGGGGATTCTATTTGGTGACATATAACCAGCACAAGCTAGTCAAAGAATACGCATGGAGAAAAGACTCATCCTTAGTAACAGGAGAACCTGAATCTATGAATTACAACCATGAACAACCTGGATGAAACTACATGTTTTATGAGGAAATAAAATACAGTCTGAATAAATAGGATACGCCATGTTCCTAGACAGGAAGACCACTTACTGAACGATGTCAGTTTTTCCCAAATTAAGTGTTAACCACAGCTCTAAAACGCCCATACACATTTCACAACTTAATAAAGGATGGTTTACAAATTAAGAGAAAATGATTTAGTGGTGGTATTGGTAAATCTGATTGGCTGCTGGAAATTTTTTTTTTAATTTTTAGGTAAGGATAGACTCACAAGAAGTAACAAAAATAGTACAAAGGGGTCCTGAATACTTGTCCCCCAGTGTCGCCAGTGGTGGCATCTGAGGTAAGTATGATACATCATTGAAACCAGGAGCCTAGGGATGCCTGGGTGGCTCAGTGGTTGAGCATCTACCTTTGGCATGGCTTGTGATCCTGAGGTCCGGGAATCAAGTCCTGCATTGGGCTCCTCGCAGGGAGCCTACTTCTCCCTCTATGTCTCTGCCTCTCTTTCTGTCTCTGTCATGAATAAATAAATAAAATCTTTAAAAAAAAGAAAGAAGAAAGAAAGAAGAAGAAAGAAGAAAGAAAGAAAGGAAGAGAGAGGGAGGGAGGGAGGGAGGGAGGGAGGGACAAATGAACGAACCAGGAGCCTGACCATGGTTCAATGCAATTCAACTAAAAGTCTCACATAGATCTCCCTCGGTTTTGAGGTTTTACTCAACTCATAGCAAACAGCAAAACAAGTTATCACTGGACTAAAGTCAACTTTCTTAAGGTTTTATGTGAACATGAATCATACCAGACACTCAATAGAGAAGGATTTTCTGAAACTAAAATTGGGCAAAAGGGAAATCTACCTATACTAAAATCTCCCTCTCTCTCTCTCTCTCTCTCTCTCTCTCTATATATATATATATATATATATATATATACACACACATATATACAAACACGTGTATTTATATGTATATGTATAGACACACGCATATATATGAATGAAACTTAAATGCAAACAACAAATTAGGAACAGCACAAACCCAGTGGCAAGCAGTTTTAAAATAGCTAAAACAGCCATTAAAAAAAATACTAAGACCCCCTGTGGCAGGTGGAATGCTGCTCCCTCCCAGAGAAGATATATCCAGATCCTCATCTCCAGAACCTATGAATGTTACCTTGTATTTGGAAAAACAGTCTTTGCAGATGCAATTAAATTAAGGATACTGAGATAAGGAGATATTCCTGGATTATCTAGAGGTCCCTAAATCTAATGACAAGTGTCCTTGTAAGAGACACACAGAGAAGACAGAGAGAAGAGGAGGTGACGTGACCAGCAGAGATTGGAGGAACACAAGCCAAGGGACACCTGGAGCACCCAGAAGCTGGAAGATACAGAGAATGGTTTCTCTCCTCAAGCTCCAAAAAGGACCACGGCCCTACCAGATTTCGGACTTCTAGCCTCAGGAACTATGGGAAAATAAACTTGTGGTGTTTCATGTTAAGCCAACATGTTTGTAGTAATTTGTTAAAGCAACCACAGGAAGCTAATATACTACTCCTTGCAATGAATAATAGAACCAAAGAACATGCAATTAAATCACTCATTCCAAATATCTACCAACAACTACTACGAAATGCCACATGAATCCTAGGGACTTGGGAGATGAGCAGAATGGACATAGGGCTGTGTGTCACAGAGCTCGTCCCCATGGCTCCCTCCAGGCCTGGAGATGAGGCTGACCATGCAGAGAAACACCCACTCGGCAAGCGCCCTTCTCAGCTTCAACCAGCCCCTGGGACAGGACCAGCAGACACAGCGATGCACCAAGCCCCCATCCCCCTCAGGACAATGTGCTGGGGGCCCTTCCCATCAGAGGGAGGAGGCACAAACCCCAAACTCTTGTCCTGCCCACTTGCCAGTTCAGGAGATGCAACTCATAGAAGGGTCTTGCTGACCTAACCAACACATCTAGCTTTCTGAAAAAGCCAGATTTTTACATACATTTCCGGGCTCCTGAGCCAACACTCCATTAACAGCAACACAAAATGGAACCTCACACACCCTAACTGGTTTTTCCAGTGTCCTCCACCTTCTCCAAAGAAAAAAACGTAGCCAGCTCTGGCATGAGGCCTGAGGCCCAAGTGGTCATCACCACAGGTTTACAGGCGCCCCAGGGCTCAATTAATACCGACCCTGGGCTCTGCAGGGCAGCCCCAGCTCATGCACACCGGAGGCCCCGCCTGCCCCATCCCAGGCTGAACACAGAGATTGGAATCCACGCTAGCGGGTCCCTAGGCCTGGGCTACGGCCTCCTCCACCTGCTGCAGAGACCTGACTCAGGCGCTTCCCCACCACCTCTCCCATCTCCAGTCCCTGTCCCTTCCTCCCATGCACACCCATTCTGGAGCCCCTCCCTCACATGCCTGCCCCGATGCCAACACCGGGGCCAGGCCATCCTCCCCAAGCCCAGATCTCACACACAGTGCAGTGCCATCAGAAGGCCATGGTTCATGGTAACACACACTGAGGAGCAAGGTCACAAAAGTGGAACTGACCCAGGGCATGGGGCACCTCTCTGTTTCATCAGCATCATTTTGGGACGTGGGTGGGAGCCACGGAAATTGGGCTCTGTGAAGGCACAACATGTGTCTCCTTTGCTCACCACTGCACTGTGTAACGCACAGTAGGTACTCAGCAAGTGCTTAAATGTGACTTCCTATTCTTTATACTGCTGTTCTCTGCTACAATTATAGGGCTTGCAAAACTAAGACACACTCTTGCCCTCAAAGGTAGGCAGTCTGGGGCATACCATACCACACAGGAGAAGCTCTTATAGAAGGCAGAATTTGAAACACCTCCAGAAGAGACAACAAAGATCCAAAGTTGGGCAACACTCAGAGAATGGGGAAGGGGGGAGGGTGAAAAAAGGTCTGAATCAGGAGATAACATTTAAGACGGACTTTGAAGAGTGTGCAGGATTTCTATAGGGGAGGGGATGAATGAATGAGCAATCCCAAGCAAAACTGGGGCAAGGTGGTAGGAGGGGGGAGGCATACCTCTGGGAAACAAGAACTAGCAGCTTCCATTCACTGGGTGCTTACCT